GGTTTCGATTCGAGTGACTTTCCCTGGATTCCTAACTCGGTAAGCTGGTCTCTTTCTTACATAATTTAATCCAAATATTTCATACGTTTTAAATTGCTAATTCCATAACATTACTAACTGTTTAACTAAAACCTACACGCCTACCAAACCCAAATCTATCATCTACCTTCACTAGAGCAAAAAATTAGTCTAACTTTCTTATCCGATAAATCTATAAGTTTTATTGATTGATTTATTGAATAATTCATTATTTACCGATTCTCAACACTATTAGTTTATTTAAAGCCAGGGAATATTTTTAGATACGAAGAATTGTTTTTAGACAGTAATGTTTTAATGAAACAAGTCTTACTAATTTGCTCTTATCTGGATGAAGAGACATACCTTTATATCTTTCCAAAGGGTACTTGCGCGTAAGTGCATATAACGAAGTCAACGGGAAATGGAACTCAGCTCTCCGATTAACAATTCCGAGCCATTATCCATTTAGCCACCTGGAAATCCAAGCTTACAGCACCTGGTATTCCCAAAAGGTCACCCATGTAGGTTCTGACCAGACTCGACGTTGCTTAACTTCGTGGATCGTGGAGCAGCCTGTGAACGCTACATGAGGAAGGAGAGCTTTGAAATAATGAGGGCGATAGATATAGAGGAAGAGATAGAGGGAAAGGCAGTAAGCTACTTAATAAAATGAGAGTAGGTGTCTCTCTTTGGAGAGCCACGATCACCCACGCACTGCGGATAGTCTCTCTCATGCATGGAAATTCTGCCGAAAGTAGCCATTATCCATCAAGCCACCTTGAAATCCAAGGTCACCCATGATCTGTATTTTCATAATCCTAATAAGACAAATAAGTGACTTCATTCCGGACAAAGCTTCAGAAGCTGTTATCAAATGGTGGTTTGAACAGAAGATCATATTGTGTTTGGTGGAAATTCGTGAGACCCTGTCCCAGATAGTGCGAATGCTGACCCTTATGTTCAAAATCTACAGCGAGATTTGACGATTTGAAAGCCCGATAACCGATATTGTCAATCGAAGGCGTGCACACCTACAGCATGACAATGCCCCAGCACACAGTGCCAATGTAACCAAGTGCAGTGTTGAGAAACCTGAGGGGCTGGATGTGCTACCTCAACCTGCCTACAAACCAAATCTTGCACCTTTTCCGAGCCGTCTTTATACAGTAGAATCCCTGACAACCGGACTAAGAAGGTATTCCGGATATGAGGAATTGCTTACAAAGTCCGGATATGAGGGGTTATATTTAGTTTAAAATAAAAGAACTGAAACCAGGTGTAACACTTATTTTTAATGTCTTATAGTAAACAAAATAGGCTAATGGTGAGTGAAATATAACGGAAATAATTTTAAGGAAAAAGAAATAAATTATGTGATGTTAATGAAAATTCATTAAATTAAATATGTCACTTATGCAAAACAAATAATGTAACGAGGATTTTTTAACTTTTTCTGCATTTCGTTTTGTTTTTGTTCTTGAAATTTTTTAAACGAAAGACACTTTTTAATTCTGCGTCATAGCTGAATGCTGGCTTTCTTTCCATAAAACTGACAGCCTTTTCAATAGCTTTTTCAATTTCAGTCCAGGTTTCATCAGAATCATGTTTTTTATTTCCTTGTTCATTGTGACAGTATGAACGCTGGAGAATAGTTTCTTTGGAAGATTTTATATCATGCAATGCTGACTTTCTTATGTTAAAGTCAGCCATTGGTTGCAATGAACTTTCACCAGCGTCTGGTGTGTTTATACTTTCCACTTTTTGCGATCAATCCATAATGTTGTTCTTTTCCTCTTATTCCCATCATCTTTTGCACCAATACAAGCCATTAGGTTGGAATAAGCATTAGCGATTATCCAAAGTAAATTTCATGAAAAACAGAAATTTCAAATCAGTTACATATCACCCAGATAGTTCAAAAGCATTTCCGGATATGGAGGATTCTGGATATGGAAGATTTCTGGATATGGAGGATTCCGGATATGAGGTATTCTCGGTATGAGGGATTGTACTGAAGATCCATTTTTCATCCCAAGTTACAATTCGACACCAAAAACGGGCACCTTGAGGATTTACCCTCACATCAGTTGTTTTCAAATTTCCACATGTCATTGATCCTGGCAACTGGTCAGTCAATGTGGAATTTCTCGATGGCAGTGTCGATTGAGGATGCTTTGGGGTAAGACTGGTAAGAAAGAGTCATGAGGATCTCTAAAATTATCATACTTAGGTCATACTAAAAACAAGCCCCACCCTTGACTCCGGGAGCGATCAACTTCCACTCACATCCAAACTATATAACTGTGAATAAACGATTAAAAATCATTTTGTTTTGAGCGGTAGGGATCAGTTCACAATAAGATTAGGACTAAAGAAGCCTAAAGACATGTTCAAACGTCAGTGTGACAAACGTAACAACGATTCCATTTCCAAACCAACTCATTTCATCACAGATGAAAACAAACATGAATCTTTAGCAACAGACTGGAGACAATTAAACACGTTAAAGCAATCCATGGTCGAATTGATATATGTCTATATCTCTAAGATTAAGATTATTTACATTATTCGAACTGTTATCCTCATCTTCATTGCCATATACACACGCTCCGGCCTTCTTTAAGTGATTGGAATTTCGAACCGAACCCTTTATTTCGCCCACCGGGGTAGATAGTTCTAGTTCCTAGTGCCATGCCTCTTTCGAATGTCTCAGTTATTTTCTCTTTAATTCTCGAAGTTTGGTTCAACACTGCTGTGGCCTTTGGAACTCACAACTCTTTGGTTTAGTCACTGGATATAAAAAACGTTTTTATCCACTGGGCCATGAGGACATCCGTGTATGAAATTTTGGGACTTATAAACCTAATGTCTCAGTAACTATTTTTTATCAGTTCTCATATTGCAATTTTCTTTTATTACTATTGCATTTTTTTTACCAGAGCTTATATTGCAATTTTTGTTGTTATTCATTGCTTTTCTCTAACACTCCTTATTACTGGTTCCCATATTGTATTCATTACTATGCTTGGTTGGCTCAGGAGATTTTTGTGGCCTAGCATATATGCTGATTCCTTCAGTTTTCGTATTTTCCAGTTATGCTCCTTGTCTATTATTTCAACCTCATCACACAGACACAAAGATTTGTGAGTTCAGTACGAGGCCACAGCAGTGGTGAACTAAATTTGGAGAGTTGAGGTAAAGGGAAAATAACTGAAACATCAGAAAGAGGTAAGGTACGTGGAACTAGAACAATCTACCTGGGTGGGGTAAAGGGTTCGGTTCGAAATTCCAATCACCTGAAGACGGCCGAAACGTTGTAAATAAGGATAGCAGTCCGAATAATGCAAATAACGTAACTAATCTAGGAACGGTGATGAGAAATATCACTCAGTCAGTTATGTGTCGCAGATTTTTTTTCCCGCAGTAGGTTGCCATTTCTTTCTGCAGTAGACCAGTTGCCATCAAAGGCTACAGAACCAAGTTTGTCCTGCTATTTACCCATAGTTGGGGGGAGAAGAAGATTATTCATACCTTTCCCAAGGGTCAGACAGTTGTGTGCCATGCATGATACACGCTTAGGCAATCATGTATCTCTCGATACGTGACTGACGAAGCAGATTTTTTTTCCGCAGTAGGTTGCCATTTCTTTCCGCAGTAGACCAGTTGCCATCTTAAGGCTATAGAACCTGGTCTGCCCTGCTATTTACCCATAGCTAGGAGGAGAAGAATAGGAGTCATACCTTTCCTAAGGGTATTAGCACGTAAGTGAATGTAATGGATTCGACTGGAATTAGAACTCGGATATCCGATTCCTCCCTCCGAGCCGCTATCCATTACTCCACTGGCTCTCCAATGAGAAGTATAAAAATGCGAAATTCCTCAGCTTATGAAAGACAAAAGACTATATCACGAAATGCCGCCGGTAACACAGGTAAATAAAAAAAAGAAAAAAAAAAAACACTAGAAAAAAAAATCAAAGCAAGTAAAAACTGAGATATGGCGATTTTCGAAAGTATGAGGCAACCAGTGAGGATCGTATTCCCTACTCAGTCGTAATTGTTTAAGCCAGACAAGCTTGTTAACTATTTTACCACGCTGGGATGGACAGAAAAAAAAGGTGAGAAAAACTGCAGAACACAGACGTAGCAGATATACGCAAAAAGACCAAACGGCAAGATATATAATATTTAAGTGGCAATCATAATGGACCAAAAAAATAAAAGGTATGTCACTAGTTAACTGAGTACAGAGAAGAGCTCTTCATCTTTCTTCTTTTATGTGCCGTGACCCTTCAGGACGTAGGCGATCATGGCTCTCCACTTCTCCTTATCTCTTGTAGTTCTCAATATGATTTATCCTTTTGCTGCTTCTCCTAAATCCTCATCTGTCATCTATTTGCTTATGCCCACTACGTATGCCACGTACTGCTTCACCTTGTCTCTCTTTCTCTCTGTCTCTCTATCCTGTGTGTATCAGATTCTCCAACCCCTCCTTTCTCATTACGTAGCCCAGACGTTTGAGCTGCTTCTTCCTGATATTAAATATAAGCTTTCTCCTTGTTTGCTTCATCTCCAAAACCTCATCGTTGCTCACACGCTCGGTCCATGATATCCTTAACATCCTTCTGTAGAACCATACTTCCGTTGCCTCGAATCTCTTCTTCATCTTTGAGGAGACCGTCCAACATTAGCTGCCGTAAAGGAGGACAGATGTCACGTAGAAGCTCAGTACTCTATTCTTTGTTACCAAAGAAATCCTCCTGTCTCGTAATCCTCTGCCTAGCTTTTGGAATGCATCTTTGGCCATCCCAATACGTCTTCGGATCTCAGTGTCACACTTACCATCCTCTGTCAGAACACTCTCCCAGATATTTAGATTTCCGAAACGCAGAATAAATAAAATCAGGGAAAGACACATGTTGATAAAATCGGTGGCGAGAACGCCACGAGCCAATAGAAAACATTAATGAATAATCAGCAAGATGTGACGTGGTTGTCACGGACATAATGACAGCGTTAGACGATTTGGGTATTGATGAGGTGACCGGAAGTAATAAACAAAATATGTGAAGGCGGTAATGACTTTAGGACTGAAATGAATGAAACACGCAACAGAATTATACCGGAAATGATCATAAAATATCATCATATCATCGTGAAAAATAGTCACGCAATATATTTTAGGAATTACGTTCATATATATAAATAAATACAAGTATCTATCTATCTATCTATCTATCTATCTATCTATCTATCTATCTATCTGTTTCTGTTTCTATCTATCTATCTATCTATCTATCTAAATATCTTGCCTGTTCATTATCTATCTATCTATCTATCTATCTATCTGTTTCTGTTCATATCTATCTATCTATCTAAATATCTTGCCTGTTCATTATCTATCTATCTATCTATCTATCTATCTATCTGTCTGTCTATCTGTTTCTGTTCATATCTATCTATCTATCTATCTAAATATCTTGCCTGTTCATTATCTATCCATCCATCCATCCATCCATCCATCTATATCTGTTTCTGTTCATATCTATCCATCTATCATCTATCTATCCATCTATCTATCTAAATATCTTGCCTGTTCATTATCCATCCATCCATCCATCTATCTATCTGTTTCTGTTCACATCTATCTATCTATCTATCTATCTATCTATCTGTCTGTCTATATGTTTCTGTTCATATCTATCTATCTATCTATCTATCTATCTATCTATCTATCTTGCCTGTTCATTAACTATCTATCTATCTATCTATCTATCTATCTTGCCTGTTCATTATCTATCTATCTATCTATCTATCTATCTATCTGTCTGTCTATATGTTTCTGTTCATATCTATCTATCTATCTATCTATCTATCTTGCCTGTTCATTAACTATCTATCTATCTATCTATCTATCTATCTTGGCCTGTGCATTATCTATCTATCTATCTGCTTCTGTTCATATCTATCTATCTATCTTGACTGTTCATTATCTATCTATCTATCTATCTATCTATCTATCTATCTATCTATCTTGGTCTGTTCATATCTATCTATCTATCTATCTATCTTGGTCTGTTCATATCTATCTATCTATCTATCTATCTATCTTCGCACATTTCTATCTCTTTCTATTTGTAACAAATACTGTCCCTATTCTCAGTTTATGTGTATTAATCTCCCTTTCTTAATATCTATCTATCTATCTATCTATCTATCTATCTATCTATCTATCTAATGTTATTCATATCTATGTATCTATCTTTCTATCTATCTACCTATTCATTTTCTCTCCGCCTTGTTTTTTTTTTTTGTAAAAGAATTCCACAACCATTGGTTGCTCAACGTAGCTACATTGGGATTTAAGCTCAATTCAATTTATTTGAATTTCCAAAGTTTTCAACATTCGAACGTGTCCACTGATTAGCGCTGAAGATTCAAGCTGAAATCAATGAATGTGATTGAAGCAGACTCGAAAATCAATCTTCTTTTTTATTTAATCAATAACAACCCAGGAGAATGTGAAACTGCCCAAGCAAAAAATCTATCTATCTAATCTTATTCATATCTATGTATCTATCTTTCTATCTCATTCTATTTATATCTATCTATCATGGCCTGTTAATATCTATCTATCTATCTATCTATCTATCTATCTTGATCTGTTCATATCTATCTATCTAATCTTATTCATATCTATCTATCATGGCCTGTTAATATCTATCTATCTATCTATCTATCTTGATCTGTTCATATCTATCTATCTAATCTTATTCATATCTATGTATCTATCTTTCTATCTCATTCTATTTATATCTATCTATCATGGCCTGTTAATATCTATCTATCTATCTATCTATCTATCTTGATCTGTTCATATCTATCTATCTAATCTTATTCATATCTATGTATCTATCTTTCTATCTCATTCTATTTATATCTATCTATCATGGCCTGTTAATATCTATCTATCTATCTATCTATCTATCTTGATCTGTTCATATCTATCTATCTAATCTTATTCATATCTATGTATCTATCTTTCTATCTCATTCTATTTATATTCATCTATCATGGCCTGTTAATATCTATCTATCTATCTATCTATCTATCATGATCTGTTTATATCTCATCTATCTAATCTTATTCATATCTATGTATCTATCTTTCTATCTCATTCTATTTATATCTATCTATCATGGCCTGTTAATATTCATCTATCTATCTATCTATCTATCTTGATCTGTTCATATCTATCTATCTAATCTTATTCATATCTATGTATCTATCTTTCTATCTCATTCTATTTATATCTATCTATCATGGCCTGTTAATATCTATCTATCTATCTATCTATCTATCTTGATCTGTTCATATCATCTATCTAATCTTATTCATTCTATCTATCTATCTTTCTATCTCATTCTATTTATATCTATCTATCATGGCCTGTTAATATCTATCTATCTATCTATCTATCTATCTTGATCTGTTCATATCTATCTATCTAATCTTATTCATATCTATGTATCTATCTTTCTATCTCATTCTATTTATATCTATCTATCATGGCCTGTGCATATCTATCTATCTATCTATCTATTCATCTTGATCTGTTCATATCTATCTATCTAATCTTATTCATATCTATGTATCTATCTTTCTATCTCATTCTATTTATATCTATCTATCATGGCCTGTGCATATCTATCTATCTATCTATCTTATTCATATCTATCTATCTCATTCTATTCATATCTATTTATCATGGCCTGTTCATATCTATTTATCAATCGATCTATCTATCTTGCTAGCTAGCTAGATTTTTTGGTCTGTTCCTATCTGTCCACCTGTATGGTTTATCACATCTCTTAGTCTCTCTATCTTTCTCTTTCTCTCTTTCCTTATCTATATCTACATCTCTCTTTTATTTTGATACCATTGTTCAACCAATACAAGGCCTAAGAGCCACTCAATGTAGTGCTAAACGAGGTTGTTTTAAGAGTGAAGATCGAAGAGGTAAGAAAAACATTATGAGGATATGGAGGATAGAATATGAGAAATATGAATGTCATGGCTGATGAGTTGAGTCTGTGCACGTGGTCTGGCGGTTGTCAGCTGTCAAAATCTGGACTGCATCTAGAAATATTAGATCCTCCTCGCCTCGTTAGCGGCGCAGCGAAAAGACATGCTTAATACAACGGTTAATCTAAAACTGTTGTGTTGCACCAGCCAATCAAATCCTGCCACGTAGTTCACAATCTCACCTAAATTTGTTCAACTTCACATTGAAAAGAAAACTATTTGATGGATTTAGAAAAACAGCGTTTATGTCATTTATGAACGCAAAACAGCGATAAAATAATGAAAAATACTACTTAATTTAATAGAATAATGGAATAGTAGAATAATGGAATAGGAATATTTAATAGAAGAATAGAATAGTACAATAATCGAATAATAGAATAGTGGAAAAATATAAGAGAATATGAATTTCATATCATTAAGTAATTGATCCGTGAATTTAAGAGGATTAAAATAAAAATAATTAGACATATACCCAGATTATCCAATAAAATATGCTTTAATCAAGATATACTGCCTACACACACACACACACACACACACATATATATATATATATATATATATATATATATATATATAGTTTTAAGGTGAGCTATATTTATGGGATAAAGTGTTCAATATCAGAGATAGAACGTAAGTAAATATAAATATAGTGAACATTGAAGTCAACCTCAGAGGCGACAGGCTGTTTCATACTGGACAGGTCGTGCCTGACGATTGGCCAGCATGAAACAGCCTGTCGCCTCCGAGTGTTGACTTCAATGTTCACTTTTTTATATATATATATATATATATATATATATATATATATATATATATATATATATATATCCGATGCAATGAGAACGAAAATAATATATAAATTCTAACATTCACAGCATTAATTCAAAAAGAGGACTCGATACCGATAGTAGAGCAATAATTATTTATTATATATATATATATATATATATATATATATATATATATATATATATATATATATATATATATATATATATATAGGTAAAATGAGAACAAATGAGAACCAGACCATTAATGTCCTCAAGAATACATGGCACAGTGGATAAAGGCGTTGGTTAGATCCAGTGACAGGACCCCAAGAGTTATGAATTCAATCCCTGGTTAAGGCAGTGGAGAATTTGGACAAGGGAATTAACAGGAGATAACTGATAAATGGAGTCCATTAGACATGGCACGTGGAACTAGAACAGTTCTGGTTAAATAGTAGGACAGAATGGGTTCTATAGCCTTTGATGGCAACCGTTCTTTGCGATAGTTCACTGTAAAAATGACCTTTTTACAAGTTTATTGATATGGTCGGCTTGTGAATAAGCCCAGTCAATCAAATTGTAAGTGATCCGTCGGAAAAGTAATTAGTTAAAAGTGTAGCGTCATTAAATTTCGTAATGTCCTCTGGGCGAAAGTTTCTAACGGATGTATTCTCGTAGCCATTAAATCTCGTAATGTCACCGGTTTCAGATATTCTAATCCCCGCCCGCTTACTGTTCTTTGATTTTCATCTACTTATTGATCCCTAACTACCACCAGTCATCGATCTCCTGATCCATTAGACAATCAATCGATCGTTCGAGCTGTCCTTTCATGGAACCTGTTAGATTAGCTGTAAATCCGCTTTTCAAAATGCTTCCCATCGTCCGTCCGTTCATCCGTCCGAATATGGGCTTCGTCCAGAACGGATATATTAAGATGCTTCTTATGAAATGACGCACCCTATAGCAAATAAATAAAACGCCTCGGAAACGTTAAATAACTAATTTATTTTGTTAAAATAGGCACCACGTTGATGAATAATCCTTATCTAACGTACCTCTCGTCCTGGGTAAGACGTTAAACTAGATCCGCGTCCCGGGTAAGACGTTAAACTACATCCGCGTCCTGGGTAAGACGTTAAAATACGTCCATCAGCAAGGCCTCCGATCAGGAGGTTTTGAGGAGCGTGGAATCACCTCTTAATTGCTGGTGTTCCGAGGTCTACCCTGACCCGGGGTGGTAGCACCTGTTAGGGTCCCAGCTATGGGCAAATAGTTAACTATCACCAGCAATACTTTTTTAAACAAATTATTACCAGCAATAAAATTTTGAAGGAAATATATTACCAGAAACAGATTTTTGACAAAACAAAATATTGCCAGCAATAAAAATGTTGTCGGCATTAAATAACTCATTGAGGTTGATATGCCGTAAAACAAAATAAACCAAAGCAATCTAAAGCAAAGAAAACATATTCTATTCATACGAATCTATCCTAAAAATGTTGTCGGCATTAAATAACCCATTGAGGTTGATATGCCGTAAAACAAAATAAGCCAAACCAATCTAAACCAAAGTATACATATTCTATTCATACGAATCTATCCTAAAAATGTTGTCGGCATTAAATAACCCATTGAGGTTGATATGCCGTAAAACAAAATAAACCAAACCAATCTAATCCAAAGAATACATATTCTATTCATACGAATCTATCCTAAAATGTTGTCGGCATTAAATGACCCATTGATGTTCATATGCCGTAAAACAAAATAAACGAAACCAATCTAAACCCAAGAATACATATTCTATTCATACGAATCTATCCTAAAAATGTTGCCAGCATTAAATAACCAATTGAGGTTGATATGCCGTAAAACAAAATAAACCAAACCAATCTAAACCAAAGAATACATATTCTATTCATACGAATCTATCCTAAAAATGTTGCCAGCATTAAATAACCAATTGAGGTTGATATGCCGTAAAACAAAATAAACCAAACCAATCTAAACCAAAGAATACATATTCTATTCATACGAATCTATCCTAAAAATGTTGTCGGCATTAAATAACCCATTGAGGTTGATATGCCGTAAAACAAAATAAACCAAACCAATCTAAACCAAAGAATACATATTCTATTCATACGAATCTATCCTAAAAATGTTGTCGGCATTAAATAACACATTGAGGTTGATATTCCGTTAAACAAAATAAACCAAACCAAACTAAACCAACGTACCTCTAGATTCTTGCCCTCATCTTGAAAGAATTATCATCCTTTGATGTGATAAACAGTTCAAATGCTTCGATTACTGCTTCTTATTGGGAAATGTTTTATTGCATATGAAAATCTCAAAATTCTTAAATAAGTTATAATCAGTAGGAAAGATATCAAGAAATAAATTATTGTTTTTTTTTTTAGTAGTATTTATTTGTTTTTGTCCAAGTAACCTGAAGATCATTTGACCTATTTTTACTTTCTGTTTTTGCTTACCTAAAGTCATATTTATCAAATTTGCTATTGTCGTTCATTTTTTTTAATGAATTATGAGTTTAGGTGTTAGTGCTGTTAAAATTACAGCCTAAATGATTTCATTAGGTTGTCTCGCATGAAATGACGCGCTTTATAGAAAACTGAATAAAACGCTTCTGAAATAATTTATTTATTCGAAATAGGCACCATGTTGATGAATGATTGTTCTCAGACGTACTTCTAAATTCTTGATCCCGCCATTAAAAACATTCGCATTCTTTGATGTGATAGATCAAATGTTTCGATTACATTTTCCTTATTGGAGAATGTTTTATTTCGAATGAAAAGCTCAAAATGCTTAAATAAGATATCAGGTAAATATGGAGGATGAATTCAGGCTACGAATCTTTTGGTCAGTTGATTGAGAAGCGTGCGGCCGTGTGTTGTCGTGCCGCAAAATTGGGCCATCTTTATTCACAAGTCGAGGATGTTTCTTTTTCAATTTTTAGTGCATACATTCAATTTCTC